TTAAACTAGATCTCTTTAAGCTGGAGAAATTTCATGCCACTTTATTTGGTTTGTTCAGCTTACCTGACTAATCTTATATTAAATTTCCACGTTGCTTACACTAATTGTGATTATCTTCGTTAACTTTATTGCCTTTGTAGCATATTTGGTGTAACTTCGTGACATTTTGCACTCATCGCGGCTTGGTTGCTAACCAACTTGCTTCATATGCTCATTTAGGGAAGAGTTATGACTGCATAGCGGTATTCTTTAACAGATATATTTTATTTGCTAATGTCATTTCAACTGATTGACTGTTGTTTGACACCCCCCGGTGTGGCTGCGCTTGATGTGCATGTTGACAAGGTGCCTACCTGTCTATTACCAACTACGTCGTCCATACTGGCTCCAGGAGACAGTTGGTCGTTGCTGGAGGGGATGGGGTGCACGGTCCTTGTGGTCGTGCTAGGCTCGAAGAGTGGTTCCATGCACTCAGTGTGGAGCGGACTACGGTCCAAGCACCGCCTTGTGTGCGATTGATTCCCAAATACAGCATGCTTGTGTTTGCCTGTGAAGGAGTGTGGGCCGGCTCCGTTGATGGAACGTGGCTCCCATCCACATGCCTCCCGGTCTTATTCCTTCGGGTTTACACTGGATATGGGGTGTGTGGTTGGAGCTGTGGGTGGTGCAGCACAAGCCACCCATGGTCCCTCTGTAGGCGCAGGCGTCCTGTGGTTGGCCACAGTGACAGGCAAATCCGAAACCGGATGCCGCCAAACATATATGGTTGGTTCCGAATTTGCCTGCGAGTTTGTCTTTCAACAGGCAGCCACATGACACTTGCACCTACAGCGCTACCATATATGGCTTGCGCTGCACCACCCACGGCTCCAACCACACACCCCATATCCAGTGTAAACCCCGAAGGAATAAGACCGGGACGCATGTGGATGGGAGCCACGTTTCATCAACGGAGACGGCCCACACTCCTTCAACTTGAACAGCAGCAGCATTCCTGTCTCTGTGTGTAGGGATTCATGCGTACCAGATGTACACAGGGCGGTGGCTGCGCCGTACTGCGCTCCACACTGGGTGGAACCACTCTTTGAGCCGTGCACGGCCAAGAACACTGTGCACCCTTCCCCCCCAGTAGCGATTCACATTCGCTTGGAGCCAGTAATCGAGATAGGGTGTGGTAGCCAAATAGGCCCTTTGTCAATCTTTACATCACACGTTCGCACCAAGGATATCAAACAACCAACATATAAGTTAAAGATAAACAGCACGTAAAACTGACTCAGAATATTCAGCAGTAAAACAGTATTGAACAAACCAACTAACATGGAATGACCCTTATCCATAGTATATTTCTACATATGTAGGGCGCCCAACAAATGTATGCCCATGTTTGATACTTGTAAACTAGATGTTTAACATGATTGTATAACTTTTCATCAAGCTAAACATCTATAAACATCCTTTTATTGTTTTATCATCGCCTGTTCGCAAACTGAGGACCGTTCTGGTCCAGAGCCTGCTGACAACGCGAAGCAGTGGAATAACACTCTGCATGAAACAATTCCCTTGGTATTTGAGTGCATTACCTACATTGCTTGCTTTAAAATCAGCGACTGTTGCAGCCCTTATTGCGTAGAATTTATCTTTTAAATATTCCCATAAAATAAGTTGAGTGAAGTGATGTCTGGTGAACGCGAAGAGTATTCAACGAAAACTTTCTGCTTATCTACCCGTTCTTCAAAACGTTATCAAGGAGGAATCTGAAATGGTGGTCAACCACAACATGTAGGTACTGAGGTCCCAGGTAGATGCAGTTGTGGCGGTTTGCTGAATCATTTAATTTGAAGGTGATCACATCACCTCACGATCTTTGTCGGAAAGTGTGTATTTTCGCTTCATCTTTCCAACTATCATTCGCAGAACTGCACTCTTTGGTCTAGATCATTGTCAGCAAGCGCATGAACTACTACTGGAAGGAAATTTTTCCATTAACAACGTTTCATAATCCAATGAACATGATTTTGGAGTGCCTACCTCAAAACTAATTTCCCGCACAAACTTTTTTGGACTGCGCTGGAAAGTTCTTAGAACTCCTTCCTCTTTTATGGGTCCTGTCCTGTAGCGTACGAGGTTTATTTTATGCATCGAAGTCACGGGTATGACTAAACTCGTATTCATGCTGTATATTATGTAATGTATGCTTACTCGCCTGAACCATGTGATAAACTTTCTACGGTTGTAAGTAACCGGCAGCTGGGTTTTGGAGTGTCCACCTCGTGTCTGAACAACAACGACGCGCAATCTGCTAGTGGCTCACTATTTATCCTGACGTCATTTTCGGTCATTCCGAACAATGGCATCAGATCTAATGCATTGCCATATTCAGCTTTACTTTTTGTAATGCCGCTGCATCACGCTGTTACCTTTCAGTACGTGACAAGATGCAAGTCAGCCCGATTGAGTGATGTTCCATAGTTTCGTATCGAAAACACCCGCATGTCAATCCACATGAGTTGCGTAGGTAAGATTATCGCCCTGACCCATTTTACGGAACTCCAAAAGGAGTTGCCGTACAGTTTGTTGTCAGTCGGTAGTGAACAGCCAAAACACTTACTTTATTAACTCTAGTGTGTATGGTGACGAGGAAGAATGACAGGAGCAACTGAACTCTGTCAACCGCAAAGTTACGCGTTATTCCCGTAGACGAGTGCCGTCAAGTAGCTGAGCTTGATCGATTAAAAATTTGCCTTTTGCGTGGTTTTAGACAATAAGTGTTTTCAAAGTCTAAAAATGAGCCCTTCACAAGTTCAGACAAGTACTGCATTAAGTGTTTTGTCCGTTTGGATATTTTCCAGACAATAAAACCTTTCACAAAATCCACCGGTAATGATCTGGTCAGCAGCCAACAGCTAAAAATAGCAGGCTACAACATTCATCACATTAGCTGAAGCATCACTTGGGTTACTTTAGAATTCCACCATAAGCCCTAATTTTACAGCCAGTTAAGAATATGATCATAATATTTGAGAACGAACTGAACTCACGAGACAGGTTTTATGTAGCCTCAGAGCGGAGATGTTGGATTCAGGGGATCATCGGAAGGTTACTTTGAACTCAGCATAAGATGCGCGGTGCAGTAATCTACCTTTGTATGTCAAGCTTTACTGAATTCTTCACACTTGGAACACATTTATGATTGGTTACTACTGGGTGTTTAAGACGATTTTATTGAACAGGTAGCAGATTCTGTGATGACGTTAATCCGTCTGACTTTTCCTTCATGAATGCGAGCAACTCAATCTTGCAAACTGATCTAAGCAAAAAAGCTGTTTCCGTAATGGTGTAGAGTGTAATGCAGGTTCATACTCATGCTGTTTCACGAGTGAAGCTAAGAAATTGACCCCCACTATCTCTAGAAATTCGGTCCATTCTGGACGGATTGTGTGGGCAATTCTCTTGAGTCGAACACGAGCATTAATGAATGCTGCTTAAAAATTATCTTGACAGTAATGCAGTGTTCTTTGATTTGCACATGTCCTGGTAGTGGACAGCGAGCTAATCCACAAGGTAACGCATCCGCCGAGAAATATCTGAGCGAGTGACTAATCCATTACTTTTAACCTTATATGTGAAACTTTTGCTTTTAAGTCGCAAGTTGCAAGTCTAATGTAATTAGATCGCCGCGTTCTCTCACGTTATCGGTTTGTCCAGAAACGGTAAGTTATAACTCACTCGTCACAACCAAAGGAGTTCAGGGTGAGACTGTTGCTAGCGCTTCTGATATCTCAAGGTAAAAGAACCTTTGTATGTTCTCTACAGCTCTTCCGTCACATAGACCCTTGATGGCAACATTCTGTCAATTTCACTAGAATCTTTTCATACGGCCCCGACAGATATTATATCACCTTTGCACAGACCGTCAACATTTCGATTTGACATAGGACCCACAGCGACTGTCCCCTACAAACTGAAGGGACCCTATGAACTAGTGTTATTTTGATACCTCAAGTCAAGACAGCTTAGTTCACTTCAATTTATAAGTTTATAAGTAGATGGACCTCAAATAAAATAAGATAACTTGCAAGTGATTTTCACACTGATGGTTTAGTTTCTTGCTTCAGCATGCCTCTTGTAATCGCAAGCAGCACTATAGCACACCATTTTGTACCAACTTAGACTGAACAACGTCAGTAGGGCATGACTGAGTGACATTAATCTCGGTACTGAGGTAGCGCAGTGACCGAATTTTACGTGAAAAATTCCAGTTTAATGAGATTTTACACCGTGGCTCAGTTGAAGCCATTCAAAATGATAGCTTCATGCCTATCGTTTTGATGATACCAAAAAAGGCTGCATGCGACCGCATCAACACCCCTTTCTCTATAAGTATACATCTGTCTCCTTTTCCTTGTTAATGCTTTTGCTTAAGATAGGCATGTAAACCTTTAAATGCACTCATAGGTATATAATCGTGGCCTGATTACTAATTCCAACCCAAATGCTAGCAGCGAAATCATCGTTAGTGAGTTAGACGGCGTTCAGCTAGGCCTGTATGCGGGCGAAACTTTAATTGCTTCGTTGAATGGTATTTGCCCAACTAGTACCTTCTATAGCCAATGTTTGAGCACACGTATTTCCTGATAGATATCTTGCACTATACTAAGAACAGGTGTCACTTTGTCAAACCGATCAGCCATCCATTAGTATGAAAGTGATTCCCTCCAAAACACTTGATAGCGTCATCTGTTTAACCAAACTCGATAGAACGCTTCCATAGTCTGTCGGATAACCTTCACTATGACCACACTGGTCGCATATTCTACTCACCCGCATATTCACACTTGGAATCAATCCGCTGAGGTCACCGATTTCGACCCAAATGTGATGGTAGGAGGTGAGCACCATCTGTGTTGTGGAAGGTATCATTTGTTGAAACCGAAATGAGACTAAGTGGATTAATTGACCGCATCATAGATGAACACCGAAATTGTGTGTGGTTCAGATGTGGTCGTCCTATCTCTGCACCGTTTGCTACCATCTCCAGACACGATAGATACAGAAAAAGCGGCTGCCATGTCACTCATCATTTGCGCTGTGCGTAAACGTTGATTACTTGTTACCTTAACGAATGAATCACTTATTCTTAGCAGACGTGTATGAGTGAAATATTCATTGTGTGGCTCATTTCCTCCGTCGATAAACCTCTTTTGTTCATCTTTTACAGAAAAAAGCACATTACCTCGACTTCCGCACACAAAAGTTGCATTGGGTCGGAAGCCTCGGAAATGCAACGGGTCCGCGCGGGAGGTTTGGGTTGCGAACTTCGCAGTGATCTCGGATCAGTGCGTAGTTATCAGGCTAGTGAGCTGGAAGGTACGTTTCCCGCAGGTAAAGAGAAACTGGCATTTATGTTGCCTCTGCTGTTTCCTCACGGTGGCATATGCATTAGGACTGTAGGCTTCCGCCCGGTTTTTATTGATAAAGGCCCAACAATGGGCTCAGTTGACATCAAATCTCACTGGACTCAAATTGTAGGCATTACAGTTGTGTACAGAAGGCACCTTAGCGGTAATCCTAAACGAAGCGCAAATGCTACATGCCCCATTGCTCATTTAATTTTAGCCAATAGAAAGGACGCTTATATCAGTACACAAAAGCTTGTGTAGCCACGGCAGTGTCGCTCAAAGTAACGGTGCAATTTGGTATGAAAACGACCCATAATTTAGAAAACAGAGTCCCTTTTATTGAATAACTGAATGTTGGAATTTTAATATCCATTCCTGATAACTAATGTTTTGTTTGAAATATGTAGACAAAAGTGCTCCTCTGCCACATATCATTCTTCTCTCTGATTCATTTCGGTTTCATTTTTAAGCTTTGGTCCTAGTATATTGGTTCCATTTATTATCGGAAGACTGAGGTGTTGCGGACGATTCTAGTGACACAATAATAATAAACGAATGCATCGATCATCAAGCAATGCTCTACATCACTTTTTAAATCGTTGCTTACAGCTATTCCACTTATGCAACAAGTGATGTCGGCTCAAAATGGAAACTTTGATATCGTACGCTCAGGAATCAGCAACTCTTGTTCACCTCAGCATTTGCCTCGAAGCCGGGAGTGTGACTACAGTAGTCTTCTACGAAATCAAAATCAAGTTTCAAGCAACTTAGTTGTCGGAATGGAGATGCTCAGCAATCGGATGATGGCCGATGCGTACCTGGCAGCCGCAAGGGCAGCATCTGCGGCAGTCGCCGCTTCCGTGATCAGCGGTAGCACAGATACCTATGCCCCAAGTACTCAGATCACAAACGACCTGGCCCCCTCCCCGGTACATGAAACGAGCGAAAGAGATAAACAGTCACTGGATACTAGTCAACAGAGTTCTGTTCCAGCAGAAACTGCTTCGACCTCATCTGGGCACATGGAACACATGACCAATGGGCTAAAGCCTGGTCGCAGAGGCTCCAATCAGCTCATAGGTAAGTTGAACTTTAGTAAAGTAGCACAATTTCTGTGAAAAAGATTACCAGGCTGTGAATGAGTAGAAGGTCGAGTGGCTTCAGGTAGCTATTTGAATCGATTATTCTCCATATGACTTATCGAGTGCTTGAAATCAACGAGCCACTTTGGATCTGGACAGCCTATTTCAATTGGGTGTCAGCCCTGTGATCGATGACGTGTACCGGTTTCACTTCCACGAAGACTTCACTAGTTTTTGTTGTCATTTTTATGTTTTATTAAGTAAACCGGATGAGGAAAGCATAGGTAAGACAGATCAGCACAATTCATGTTAAGTAAATGGCTTCCATGATAATCCTGCAAGTAAAAGGTTTCACTTAGATATATCGTTTTGCATACAACCCTTGGATCATATTTCTTGGTTTTATCGCGCAAACATAAAATTCTAAACTTCCCCAAGGAAGAGGGATTGAACCTGAATCATATAAGAGCGAGACTGATTGATCCTGGTTTTTACTGTAATATTCTTGTTTAGACAAGGTTGAAAAGTTGTCATTATGATTAACAGATGTCCGGGTAACACCGGTCGGCACAGTGTTTAAACGAACCCGCATTTTGATAACCTTCGTCGTGCCAGATTCAGTCAGACCTCTACTTTGTATCCAGAGAGCACAGGATGGCACCACACATCTTCCTTGAATTCTGCTGGATTTTAACATATAACCTTCCTCTTTACTAGTCCCTGACTTTGACCATTAAGCGAGGATTGAAAACAAGCTTCCATTTAATGTGATTCATCTCCGTTGCCGTGCACCTGACTGCTGAGCAATGGTCAGTGTCGGGCAAAGGAGGTACTGCTTCTCTCTTTAAGCCGCAGTCTGTCTTGTGACGTCGTAAGCCGGCTTTTGTTCTGTTTTGCCGCTGAAGTACATTGGTAACAACTACTGGCCCTGGCTATTCGATGCACGATGTTTGGCGACAGCTTTTTATGCAAGTTAGGGTAATCACGGTTAGCAGGCTGTTGGCAAGTCGGGCGTATTTGCTGTCATGTTAAGGCCAGGCTATTTGCGGCTGCGGTTGGTTTACATGTTTAAAGAACGGTGGTGAATATTTCAAGTAGGGTTAGTCTGTCAATTTGACCACATAGTAACCCAGGCTCTGGCTGTAACAATGGTTACTACGGCATCTTAGAAGAGGATTTTGATAGCAATCGGTTTAGAAACTTAAGATAATCGATAACGAAGCGAAATATGCAGTCATATCACGATCGCAACGGCAGTGAGGTCACAGTAAGAAAGATGAAGTAACATAGGATAGCGAAGATACCAGTGTTGATCGCTGTCTCCCGAGTCAGCCTCCTGAAGCTGCTTGCATTACCAGAACTTACTGCAGACCGTATCTTCGCCCTCTATGCCTGGTCATTAGGCACGATATAGCAGTAGGTATCAAAACAAAAGTCGACGAAAAAACTGGTCTTCGGTGGGTCGCGTCGGGCTTGTACACCACAACGGTTACAAATAAAATGAGTTACATAGTAGATGTGGGTAAATTTAAATGGATAAAGTTCGTAGGTCTGGGTCATCTAAATGACAAGGCCAGGTGGTTGGTTCAGAAGCGGTCAAGGACTTGTTCTCCAACAGGGGTTACTGTGAGTTGGGTTAGGGTAGAGAGAAACTGGACGAATCGTTTTTGTGCACATAAATAAATAAATCGATTTGTATCTTTACTGACAAGCGGCACACAGCCTCAGAATTCTGGGTTCTGGCGGCTGATAACGATGGCGTCGGCCGTTGCTGGTAAGCAACATCTTACCACTCGTGTGGGGCATCCAGATACCCGGCAAATGGGTTGAAACATTGGTGGGTATCGATTGGTGGTTAAATTCAATTAAATGTGCCAACATGGCGCTTCTCACTGTTTTCGTTCCACCATCCCACAGCCAAGACAAGCAAAGCTCACGGATTCCCTCAGACAGTCTCTTGGTGGTTCTTCCGATATACCTTGCTCGATTTGAACAAGTGAAGAAGTACACACATAAAGAAATACTTGACTGAGGAAGTCTGTCCAGGAGTTGAAGCCTTACGACTGGCGTTGAAGTGAATCTTAGCTGTAGGCTTGCTGCTTAGTAGCTATAGTTCATGGCGTCGGATAGTTGCCTGCGCTATTCCATTCCCTTTGAACGGCAACGACAAATAAACCCATTCATTGCCGACTGAATCGGTTTAGCCTTCGCTTCTCGGTACTACATATTTCTCAGAATAAACTTTTCGGGACAGCCGTTTCTCTCAATAAGGTCACGATTTTCGACGTACTGACTATGCCTCGTTTCACGTTAAACAACCATCGGGTATAGGTGACTCCGCAGACAACTCCATGAACCACGCCACACAAGTAGAGCTGGTCGCAGGTACGCTCGGTTGGCTCACCAAAAGTTTAGAAAAAAACTGCACAGTGAATTCTCGACTTCAGCATCGCTAGCAAATTGCATCTCACCTACCTGGTGGCTGGTTTGAGACTGCATCCAACATGTTGCGGGAAAGGGGCTGAGATCAGGTAGACATGGTGCATGTGGACGCCTGTGAAGGAAGATAAAATAGTCCACAGTACCGCAGGCTAAACCCATCAGCAAGCATACTGCCACCGTGCGAAAACGGGAGCGCCTTGTTCGATGCTTTTACAAAAAAAGACTGTTACAATAATTTAGAATCAGGTAAATTATCGTGTGGTATCTCCAAATAAGACCAATAAATATGAAATGAAGATAGCGACATCTGGCGTGTATCGTCGTTACGCTGTCAGTTCGAAGAAAAGAGATCTCATTGCGGTACATTGGCTTGCCACAAAATAAAAGTGTGAAACTCTTTAATTAGTTTTTAAGAACTCGGTGCTAAAATACATTTAGTAACTTAATTTCGTTGACTTTGTACCAAGGATACGAAGCATAAACCAAGTATGTCGTACAAAACCTAAGTAAAAATCTACGGACCAATAAACCTCGACATAACGCACGGTCTGCGCAGAAGAATAAAACATATTATCCTATAACAGTGATTCTATAAGGCAACTTACATACAGTACATAACTTACGAATAAGTTTGCGATCGTACTGCATGAGGGCAAAAACTGTAAACTGTGCGGCAGCGTGCGACAGCAGGCGGAGAAATTGGACAGTGTCACAGTACCAGAATAGTATGGATGACCTTGAAACGTCAAGGATGTGTCAGTGATCGAGAGTCAAAGGAAGAAATGTTCGATATAGTAACTGATTGAAGCACACAGATTGAGTAATGTAAAATGGGCAGAATAATTAGGGAATGGGGATACAGTCTTTTCAAGTATACAATCCAGGTTGGGGAATAAACCAAAGTTCCTTTTAAAATTTACAATCCTCCGGCGGTTTCGTATTCTGGCTTCCACAGCATCATTCGCTTTTTCCTGATACGCATTTAGCAGGCATAGCTGTCTGACGTCTCTCCTCAATTCACCGTTGCCTGTCCTCACCAGTGCTTGTCGAAATAATTGGTCTTTGCTTTTGATAACTACCTCCACGACACCCTTAATCCACAGACCACTTGATGTGCGTAAATCTCAAACTAAAACAGTCGCCAAGCCTAAGGTCCCGGATTGCAATTAACTATTTCTGTCTATTCTGCAGTGTCGGTAGATAAACTCTGATCTACCTACCCCAAAACATATCCAACAGATGTCTTACCTGTCCCCACCTTCTGCTCAATTTGATTGGTAAGTTGATCGGCTGGTATACAAGCGACGGATCATTTGCAAGCGTTAAAAGTTGCCGAGCCGATACATCATCTTGCGAATCCGGGGAGTCGGATACTGCTACCAAAGGCCGGTGGTTCAATGTAGTTTCGATCTCGTTGAGTGTCTTTACAAGTACCTCTTCGGTTACAACCGTGCCGTTGAGAATGTTGCGTGATAATTCATGAGTTGATTGAATCAGTCGTTAACAAAGACCTCCGCTATGACTAGCAGCTGGAGGATTGAAATTCGTCAACCTCCCTAGCTCACATAGAATTTATGATCTTCGTGCGATCCAGCTGCTTCGAAGTTATATAGTGCCATTGACTGGGGCGAAAGTACTGTTGTGTTATGGTAATCCGGTTAGCAACGTGCCTCGGGAAATGCCCATTAACACTTCGAACAAGCTTGATAACTACCATCGAGTCTGTCCAGAATGTTGTGTTAAAATGGAGTGTCATCTGCTCTCTGACTTTCACTAACATGCGCATGCTCAGTACGGCGGCAGTGAGCTCAAACCTTGGTATCGACACGGTTCTAAAGGGGCTGCCACGTGATTTAGTAGTAAGCAGGATACCACTAACACTGCCTTCATCAATCTCACAACGCAAATATAGAGCAGCTCCGTAACCAGCCTGATGCGTCCGAAAAACAATGCAACTGCACAGAAGATACACTGCATCCGAATGGATTAATACAAGGTTCAACAGACCAGCTCTTCAGACCGTTGGTGTTTGATAACCAATTGTTCCAAGCTTGCTGATCCTCTGCGGGAAGAGGTTCAACCCAATCCAACTTCTTTCTTAAGAAACTGTAACAGTACCTTGGCCGGAAGCAGCACGGGTGCAATGAGGCCGAATGGATCATAAACTGAAGTAATAAACGAGAGTATGGCTCTTCGGGACAACGTTTTATTAAAACTTTCCAGCTTAACAGTTAGGTGGTCCTGGGTGACGTTCCAGGTTAAACCAAGGGCGTTTGCAACGCAGTCGTCCTCAGTCGAATATTTTATTCCGGGAACTTTCTGTTCACTGTCAGGTCGATGCGCGATAACCTCCTTTCGATTGCTTATCCATTTCGTCAAATGAAATACTCCCTCGGACAGAATACGTGTGAGGTGTTTAAAGAGTTCGGTTTCTTCGTGAACAGAATCAGCACTAAAGGAACCATCATCATGCCAAAAAGGTTATCTGCTACTTTTTTAACCTTTGTTTAGTATTTACAATCAATTTCAAAGATAACTTGTCGTAACGCAAAGTTA